ACGTGGGCCAGGGCCATGCAGCGCTGCACCGACTTGACGAAGATGACCACCTGCAGGACAGAGCGCGGGCGGGCGGGCGGGCGGTCAGGGCCGGATCCTGCACCCAGGCCTGACCACCGGCCAGGACGGAGAGTGGGGGGCAGGGCCAGAATCCTGCACCCAGGCCCCGACCACCGGCCAGGACGGAGAGCAGAGCGGGGGTCAGGGCCAGAATCCTGCACCCAGGGCCCGGGGCTGGCAGAGGGGAGCGTCACCTGGTTAAACTCCAGCACGTCCAGGAGGTCAAAGAGCTTGCGGTTCTTCTCGCTGTCCTTGAGCTTGACGTAGTACTGCTGCAGGCCGTGCAGCGTGAGCTTGGTCTCGTCGTCCACAAACACCTCCATGGGCTGTGTGGGGAGGGGTGGAGGGGCGCCGGGGCTCACGTCTGCGCAGCTCGCCTGCCCAGAACCTTCCAGCGCGCGGCTCCTTGGCTGCCGTGCTTCCCAGCGGGCGGCCGCACCCAACCTCTGCCAATTTCGCTACGGAAAGCTGGATGGAAACTGGGGTCTCGCCCAGGCGTGGGCCGAGCGTGGCTGCCAGTGTGACCAGGCCGAGGGGAGGGAAGGAGGCTCTGCTGGCCGCCCTCAGCATCCTCTGCGCAGGGAGGGCAGCGTGGCTGTCACCGAGCGGCTCCAGGCTCCTGGGCGGGGCCGGGGCTGCTGTGCGGAGGTCTCGGCCACACGGGTGGGCCGGGGTCTCGCCCTACTCACATCCTGCATGAATTTCCTGCACACGGGCCGGATCTCCTTGCTCAGGGTGGCGCTGAACATCATGCACTGCTTCTCGTGCGGCGTCAGGCGGAAGATCTCCTGCACGTCCCGCCGCATGTCTGGGTGCAGAGGGCGACAAGGGCTGGGTGTGAGCACCTGCCAGACCAGCCCCCACCCAAGACCACCCCCGGGCCCTCCCAACCCGTGCCCAGGAGCGGCTGGCACCATGCCGAGGGTGGCCAAGTCCCGGGTGCCTGAGGGCTGGACTCGGTGGGCGAGCGCAGGCGTGGGAGGAGCGCATCCACTTACACGCCGCCAGCGCAGCAGCCGAGCCGCACGCCTCGCGCCACACCTCGGGGAGGGGAGCCTGGGGCAGAGACAGCCGTGGGGTGAGCTGGAGCTGCCTCCCCTGTCCTGTCGGGGCTCGCTGAGGGCAGGGGTCTAGGAAAACCCGGCAGCGGGAGCCACGTGACCCTTAGAGGTGTGCATATGTGCCCCAAATGACCGGGCGGGGCTGGCCCTGCGGTCCCCTCTGGCAGTTGCACACGAGCCTCTGTGCTGCCCACCCACACGCCCCTCTGTGGCACCCGGGGCTGCTGTCAGGGCTCCCTCGACGCTGGCTGACCCTGGGGCCACTCACCCAGCTGCTCCAGCATCTTGTCGCACTCGTCCAGGATGAAGTGCTTCACGTTCTTCAGGTTGAGACTCCGATTCCGCACGAGCGCCAGGATCCGGCCCGGGGTCCCCACAACGACGTGGGGGCAGTTCTTCTTCAACACGTCTTCGTCTTTCTTGATGGAGAGGCCCCCGAAGAACACAGACACCTACGGGGACGGACAGGCCACTGCTGCCGCCTGTCTGGAGGGTGCAGGTCCACAGCCCTCACAGCCAAGGCCCAGAGAAGCCACAGAGCCTGGCCCTGGCTCCCGACAGGCAGCCCCAGGCGGGGCCTGTGCAGCCCCCGGGGGGCCATGCATAATTCAGCAGGCTTTTAAGGAGCATAAACCACCGCAAACCTCAAAGGCAGCGGCTGCAGCCAAGCCTGGTAAACGCTGGCTGGGCCTGGGCCAGGGCCGAGGCCATAGGCGAGGCTGGGGGGGCTGCAGAAGGCCCGGAGGCGCCCAGGCAGGCCGGGGGCTCACCTTGACGCTGGGCATGTACTTGGAGAAGCGCTCATACTCCTTGCTGATCTGGAAGGCCAGCTCCCTCGTGTGGCACATGACCAGCACTGTCACCTGTGGGGCAGAGGCAGGTCTGTGAGGCAGCGTCCTAGTCCTCCCTGCCGGAGACCTCGCCGGCCGTCCCGGCTCCACGGCAGAGGGCCCTCGCCCACTGCTCCCCACACCTGGGCCACCCAGAGGCCCAGCCCGGATGCCTGCACATGTTCGGGAAGACCCTTTCTCCATCAGCAGGACCTCAGGGAGGTCAGGAAAGGAGACCGGCCGAGGAAGGGACTGGGCGCCCCCCACCGCACTCTCTCCCCAGGCTTCCCGAGTCACTGCTCCTGGGCCCTGCCTCCCACGACAGCACACCCTGCGAGCATGCCATGGCCGTCACCCAGCCCTGGTCCTGCGTGAGTCCCCTGAAGGAAACAGGGCACACGCACCAACAGGCGGCCCGAGGACGTGCCCTGCGGGGACTTGAGTACTGAGCCCCGGAATGCACCCGAATCACCCAAGTCAGTGGGAGACAAGGTGCATGCCCCGGAAGGGAGCCGTGAGCCCCCGGCAATCCCAGTCCCCGGGGAGAGCAGAGAGCACACGCGGGAACGGCAGCTGTCTCGGAGGTGACTGTGGGCGCTTTGCAGCTTTTGGCTTATCAATATTCTTGACTTTTAAACACTATTTATTCTATGACTGAGAAAGAGAAGTGAGAGAGAGGGCACCCCAACAAGACCCTGAGGCCACGATCCCTCGCAGCCTCAGCCAGCCCCAGACAGGTGTGCTCTAGAGGGCCCTGGACAAGCCGGTGCCTCCGCTGCGTTTCACCACCGTGGGGCCCGGCCCCGGGGCGTCTTCTCACTTCCTTACAACTAGAACTGAGCTACGGTATACAAAAAGTTAAGGGAAAACGTGCTAGGAAAAAATTACGCACGAGTTTCAAAATTATCCTGTACTAAAATAAACCACGCCTTCAGTTCCCTCTCCGTGAGCCTCTCCCAGTCCCCTGGTACATAATGGTGACAGTCCATAAAGCGGGTGTGGGAGGAGAGGGTGTGGGCTGGGCGTGGGGAGGCGCACCCACCTGGCCGTTGACGGGCTCGATCTGCTGCAGGGTGGCCAGCACGAAGACGGCCGTCTTGCCCATCCCCGACTTGGCCTGGCACAGGACGTCCATGCCCAGGATGGCCTGGGGGATGCACTCGTGCTGGACTGAGGGAGGGACACTGTCAGTGACGGGCGCCCACTGCTCAGCCTCAGCAGAGCGGGGCCAGGCTCGGGGTCTGGGTGTGCGCGGGTCAGGCCAGAGCGCTGAGCCTCCCGGACAGCCCCCAGGGACGCGGACCCCCCACCCCTGCACAGGGGTCTCGGAGAGCCTGGTGCAGACAGGCCTGGGAGGCGTACCCTCAGAGGGATGCTCAAAGCCACAGTCCACGATGGCCCGCAGGAGCTCCGGCTTCAGCAGAAAGTCCCGGAAGCCAGAGCTGTGGATGGAGACGTAGGACCCCTTGACGTCTTTCTTGGGGGGAGCTGGCGTGCTCTCGGGAGGAGCCTGGGGCTCTTCGTCTTCTTCGTAATCCAAAAGCTCATTTTCCACATCCTGTTCCGCCATGACGCTGACGACAGAGAGGAAGGGCCACGGAAGGGCCACAAGAGAGAGTCGATGGGTGTAGGCAGAAAAACCTGCCGGGCAAGGTGGGCCGGGAAGGGGGCCATGCGGTGCAGGCCAGTGAGCAGCAGGACACCGGAGGCTCAGGCCAGAGCCAGACGGCACTTTCTCACCGGTCCCTCAGCCGGGCCACCAGCCACCCCGTGCAGCCTCCCAGCTGCAGCCCTGGTCGCCGTCACCTCCTCTCTCCAGCCATGCCCACCCACCTCTGCCTCCGAGGGCTTCCCACTGCGCTCAGGGTGCAACCCCGCTCACCAGCCACACCGCCCTCCAGGCCTGGCCCTGCCCACCGCCCTCCAGGCCATCCTCGTTCGTTCAGCGGCAGCACCAGGGTTTGGTGCTCGGAGCTTCCGGCTCTAATGAACCAACCCCAGGGAGTGCCCTCCCCGGGACCCCACGGGCCTGCAGTAGCCCAGGGGTGTGGCTGCCTGGGTGCTAGAAAGCTCCAGGTTGGAGAGGGGGCAGGCACCGCCTGCCCGGCCCCCGGCTTCTCCTGCTGGTTGTGGTCTGCTCTGGGGAGTAATTAAGTGCTCTCATGAAAAGGCCTCCCCCTGGGTCTGCGCCAACACAAACGAGGCCGGCCGAGCTGGGAAATGGAGTTGAGTTCACACCAAGCCCCGCACCTCCAGGCTTTCTGCCACCCGAGGCTCGCGGAGTCCCTTCTGGGGCACGGGGCCAGAGGCAGGGCGTGCTCTTGCGTGGCGTGGCCTTCTCCCTTAGCCCGCCCAGCCTCCAGCCTCCAGTCTGGGGAGGCAGAGCAGCAGCAATCCCTCTACCTCCTGACGCTCCACGTGGAAGGTCCTTGGCCCCATCTCTGGCCCTGCTGGGGTTCATTCTGGGGCTTCATCCAGCCCCAGGGTCCCGACCCCTGCTCCTCAACTGCAGGCCCGGACACCAACTACCGTCTCCACATCTTTGGGGGACCTTGGCGGTTAAACTCCAAACGCCCAAAGCAAACTGGTGGCGTGGTGGCCGAGGCACTGAACTCCCATGTAGCCAACCACAGTTTGGAGTCCAGGACCTGGCAGACTGCTTTCTCACGTTCGCTCTCTGGTCAAAATTTAAAATAAATAGGGACCAGCAGGTGGCGTGGTGGTTAAGGTGCTGGACAACTCCCATATGGCTGACCACAGTTTGAGTCCCGGACCTGACAGCTTGTTTTCTCACTCTTTCTCTCTGTCTCTCTCTGATCAAATTAAAATAAATGAACAAATAAATAAAATTCAATCAATAATTATTTAAAAAAAGGATTTTTAAAAATAAATTTAAAATAAATCAATCTTTAAAAACGAATTAAAAAAAAAAAAAACACAAAAAAAACCCACAAAAACCTGTTTCTCCCCAAAGGCCTGCTTCCCTATCTCGGAAATGGCAACTCGTTTTCTCAAGTGGCTGGTTTCCCTCCTGACCTCCTCAATTGGCTGGCAAGCCTCGGGTCCAACAGCCCACCCGCCCCGGCCACGCTGGCCCCAGTCTTCTTAAACTGGAAGGGCTTTACTGAGATATCTACAAGCTGTAAGACTCACCACTTACATTACACAATGCAGTGCATTTTTTTTTGGGGGGGGGGAGACAGGGGGGAGGTTTTTGCTATAGGGCGCCTGCACTCACCAGACAGACAGACAGACAGAAAGCGAGAAATCACCCCCCAGGGGGGATGGCCACGCTGCAATCCCTTCTCCTCCATTCTCCTCTCGGGATCTTGGGCACGCACGTACACGCACCTGGCGTGAGTTTAAGATGCTGGGTCCAGAGACCAGCAGTTAGCATAATGGCTATGTCGCTGGACTCCCACCTAGTCCACCGCGCTTCGCGTCCCAGGCCCGGTAGCTTAAAACTCACGCCGGGCACATGTGTGTGCGTGCCCAAGATCCCGAGGAGAATGGAGAAGGGATCGCGGCGGCATGACCATCCCCCCTGGGGGGTGATTTCTCGCTTTCTGTCTGTCTGTCTGTCTGGTGAGTGCAGGCGCCCTATAGCAAAAACCTCTCCAAAAAAAAAAAAAAAAGCTGCTGGGTCCAGGACTCGAACCGTGGTTGACTACACGGGAGTCCAGTGACATAGCCATCACACTAACTGCTGGTCCCCCGCAGTGCTTTTTAATATAATCACCGACACGTGTAACCACTATCGGCCAACTTTAGAATACTTCACTGCAAAGACAGAAAAAGCCTCGAACCTTTCTCCCTGAGGCCCTGGCAACAGCTAGTGGACTTTGCCTGCAGAGCCTGTGGACACTGAACGCAGTCACACACGTGGCCTTCTGCGTCTGGCTCCTTTCAATATCGCTGTCGAGGTGAGATCCACCCCAAGTGTAATGAACACGGGCCGGTTCCTCCTCCTTTCTGTGGTCAAATGACACCCAGCGAGCAGCCCCGTCACACTGCTGTTCCCCTGCTGTCAGCTGACGGCCTTTTGGGCTCCAGTTCCCTTTTTTTTTTTTTTTAAGTTTTTTTTTCAGAGAAAGACAGGCACCACCACCAGGGCCCTCCTCCTACCCGGCTTGGCCTCCGGCCTCAGCTGGTCGGGATCACACGCACACGCAAACCCAGCAGGTGCAGGGAGACCCTGGGACTTGATCAGCGACCTTGTCGTGTGGGGTGTGGGGCCGACATCACCGAGGGCCACCCTCTCGCCTGGACTATGCGGACAGCCTTCGCTGGTGTCCCTGTCCCTAGTCCCCACCCGTCCACCCGCAGCAGCCTATAAAAGCGAAGTGGGACCTGTCACGGCTGTTCTAAACCCCCATGAGGGGGACAGCAGGCAGCAGCAAGCTAAGGCCGCTGGACCCCACATGGTCAAATGGCGATTTGAGTCCTGGGCCCGGCAGCTTGAAAAACACTCTGAGTGCCTGCACACCCACATTCCAAAAAGGAGGGGTCTGAAACAGGCTGGCCACTGCCTGCCCCAGGACAATTTATTTCTCTGGTGAGTGTAGGCACCCTATATAAAATTACAGAAACCCTCCACTGTGCTCAAACTAAAATTCAAATATCCCCTCCCTCCTCCCAGACACTCAGGCCCTTCACACCTGGACCTCTGTGAACGGGATCGGGATCGTCATCACGCCCTCACCCCTCACTGCCCCCCTCCCTGCTCCTGGAACACTTGAGAAACCCCCTTGTTTTTATTAAGTTTTGCCATAGGGCATGTGTGCTCAACACAGACGGAAAGTGAAAAATCATAACGGGGGTGGGGGGTGGCCTAGCCATAAAAACTTCACCACTCTCCTCTCAGGATTTTGGGCACGCATGCACATGCACTGGGTGTGGTTTTCGAGCTGCAGGGTCCAGGACTCGAACCACTCACTAGGCCATGTGGGATCCAGCGCCTTAACCTCCACACCACCTGCTGGCCCATGAATCCCCTACTTCTTTTGCTCCAGAGGACACTTCCTTACAGCCCCAACTAAAAGCACTGGCTCTGGTCCGCCCTGCCCCGCTTTCTTTTTTTTTTTTTTTTTTTGAGAGGTTTTTGCTATATGGCGCGTGCGCTCGCCAGACAGACAGAGACAGACAGAAAGCGAGAAATCACCCCCCCAAGGGGATGGCTACGCAGCAATCCCTTCTCCTCCATTCTCCTCTCGAGATCCTGGGCACGCACGCACACGCGCCTGGCGTGAGTTTTAAACCACGGGGTCCGGGACGCAAACCACGGTACTGCGTAGACTATGTGGGAGTCCAGCGACATAGCCATTCCGCTAACTGCTGGTTCCCCCGCCCTGCCCGCTTTCTAGAGCAGCGCCTGGCAGGCAGCAGGCAGGACCCAACAGCAGGGTCCAATGAATGAACCAGAACCGAGGCTTTGAGGCAGAATTTAGCAAGACTGTATCTTAGACCCTAACATCTTGACTGGCAAAGACAGGGCAGTCCGGAAAGCACCGGACCCTTGACGGGATGGGGAGTAGGACCAGCCAGCCGAAGCAGAGGCAGGAGACAAGCCAGAAGAGCTGGTTGGGGCCCAGGGCAGTTGTACATCGCCGAGCAACAGGGAATGGTTGACTAGGTTTCTGAAATGAGTGAGTCAGTCAGGATCTGCCCAAGAGTAATTAACCCCACAGACTGAGTGGGGTAAGACCAGCAGCGGAGAGAACCAGGCTGCAAACGGAGACGCCACCAGGGTGGGGCACTGAACTGGGACAGGGCAGGTGAGACCTGCCACCCTGGTGCACTCGGCTCCACACCTAGGCTGCTGTATCTAAAAGATACATGGGGGGCTGCCAGGTGGTGTGGTAGTTAAGGACACTGGACTCCCACATGGCTGACTGTGGTTCGAGTCCCAGACCTGGTGGCTTGCTTTCTAACTTCTCCTCTCTCACTCTGTCCCTCTCTGGTCAAATTAAAGAAAGTTAGGGACCAGCAGTTGGCATAATGGCTATGTTGCTGGACTCCCATGGAGTCAACAGCGGTTCGAGTCCCGGACTCGGTGGCTTAAACTCATGCCAGGTGCATGTGCGTGCGTGCCCAAGATCCCGAGAGGAAAATGTATGAGAAAAGATTGTGGCGTAGCCATCCCCCCTGGGGGGTGATTTCCCGCTTTCTGTCTCTCTCTTTCTGGCGAGCGAACGTGCCTTATAGCAAACACCTCTCCCCGAAATAAAATAAATGAAATAAAACAAATAAAGTTAAATAATTCTTTAAAAAAAATTTAAAGATACAAGGAAAGAGATGAGCAGATGGCATAATGGTTATGTCGCTGGACTCCCACCGAGTTGACCGTGATTCGAGTCCTGGACCTGGGGGAGAGGGGGAGTGATCTCTTGCTTTATGTCTGGGGAGAGCATGCACCCTACAGCAAAAAAAAGAAAAACAACAACAACAAAAAATCTTCAAAACAATAAATAAATACAGTAAAGGTACAAAGAAGGCCTGCAAGTGCTGAGATTAAAGCGGCTGGATCCTTCAGGGCCAACTACCGGCCGGCCACTTGTGCGTGCATGCCCAAAATCCCAAGTGGAGAGTGAAGAGATTGTAGCCTGGCCATCCCCTCGTATGTGGGGGGTGCTCTCTCCTCTTTCCTCTCTGTCTCTGTCTCTCCAGCGAGCACACTCACTCTATAGCAAAAACCTTAAAAAAAAAAAAAAAAAAAAAAAAGAGAGAGAGACAGATCGACATGGGGAGCTACAAGGTCAAACCAAGTGGTTCTGCTGGTAGACAGGCAGACCTGGGCGCCCCCTGAGTTTGCAGAAGCACATTTTGCAGGAAGTGGCCGGGCAGATCTAAAGCTCAAAACAAATTATTATCAGAAACAGGATTAGGCGGCACTGCCCCACCCAGAGGGGGCGGCCCTGCAGAGAGCACCCGGAGCGACAGAGCTTGAAAGATGACACCGGGATAAGGGACCACCCAGACAAGCCACGTATCTGTTTGCCCTTAAAGGTCCCAGGCATGCTTTGCGTCCCGGAGTTCGTCCCCTACTAGGGAGCCCGAACTCTAAAAAGTTGACCTTTGCACTTTTTCTGCAAGCTGAACCCCCTAACTTCAATCAAGAATAAGGGAGAGTGGGAGAAATGGGGTCCCACGGTCCCAGACGCCAGCAACGCCCCCATGTCTCTCCCTACATGACCCCAGGCTGCCTCGGGGGTCTATTCGGACAGACAGATGCTCCCCCCTAGTAAGGCTCGGCCCGGGGGCGGCCATGACAGCCTCCCGGAAGCGGCTCCGTGCCCCGCGCGCCAACGGCCGGTCCGCCCCCTGCGCATGCGCCCCGGCGCCCAACGGCCACCTCCGCGCTCACCGGACGCCCCAACCCCCCCGCCCCCCCTCGTTTTCCTGATCCACCCCTCAACCCCCGGCGTCTCCCCTCGCCCGCTCGCCCTCAGAGCCGACGTCCCCAACCGCGACATCACGGTCCCCGCGCCCTGGCTCCGCCGCTCACCTGGTTCCCCGTTCGCCTCCGCGTGCCGTGAGGACAGCCTCCCAACTCCGGTTATCCGTGTGCGCCCGAACACGAGCTGCCACGCTTCCTGGCTCGTGCGTCGACCTACGCCCCTTAGCCACTGGGCAGCTGGCTTTTCATTCAAAGGAAGCGGAAACGCTGATTGGGTCAAGAGAGCAGTGGCGGGGAGGGATTTGGGAGTGGCGGGAAGCTATTGGTGGAGAGGCGGGAAGAGGGCGTGCCTTAAGCCTCGGATTCATTGGTCAATGTAAAAATAGGCTTAACGGAGGCCGCCGTCGCGCGCGCGTGCGCAGGTGCGCTGTCACGTGATCTCAGTTAAGCCCTCTGTGGGCGCCGCCATGTTTAGTACTGGCAACTGAAGACAACGTGATTGGCCTGTGGTTTTTGTCCCACCCTTTTCAGGGGTGGCTTCTGAGCTGAGAGCTGAAGCCTGGGATCTCGGAGTTGGATCAGCCTTCGACTTTAGGGGCCCTTCACGGTGGAGGCTCTGAGAAGGTTGAGAGCTAGAGGGAAGAGGATATTTTGCATTATTTGGGTTTTTATCGATTTAGATGATTGTGGTTTTTTTGAATTTCATATAAATGGAATCGTATAATATATTAGGATTGGGGGGGGATGGGAGGCGGCGAGTGGAGTAGGAACAGCGTTATGTTGCCCCAGCTGGCCTTGAACTCCCAATGCTCATGCCTAAGCCTCCTAAGTAGCTGCATCTGTGTCACCGAACCTGGCAATAAATTGCTTTTTCTACCTGGCTTCTTTCACTCCAGAAAACTTTTGAGGGCCAGCAGGTAGAGTAAGGGTTAAGGCAGCTGGATCCTTTATGGCTAACCATGGTTCAAGTCCCATACCCAGTAGCTTGAAAATCACATTGGGTATGTGTTGGGGGGGAAGAGGGAGCCAAGTCCCAAGAGGAGAACACAGGAGCAATGATTGTGGTGTGGCCATCCCTCCAGGGGGTTGATTTCTCGCTTTCTCTCTCTAGCAAGCAAGCTACCAAAAATAAAAATAAAAAAGTTTTTGAGATGTGTCCATGTTGTGGGGCGTATCAATAATACTTCCTTTGGGAACCAGCAGTTAGCGTACTGGCTATGTCGCTGGACTCCCACGTAGTCGACCGCGGTTCACGTCCCGGACCCGGTGGCTTAAAACTCACGCCGGGTGTGTGTGCGCGTGCGTGCCCAAGATCCCGAGAGGAGAATGGAGGAGAAGGGATTGCGGCGTGACCATCCCCCCTGGGGGGTGATTTCTCGCTTTCTGTCTCTATGTCTCTCTCTGTCTGTCTGGCGAGTGCATGCACCCTACAGAATGGACAGGGCCAGCAGGTGGCGATGTGGTTAAAGGCACTGGATTCCCACTTGTTAGATCATGGTTCAAGTCCAGGACATGGCGCCTTGCTTTCTCATTTTCCCTTTCTCTCTCTGTTCAGATTAAAATAATAATTATTATAATAGCAAATGGAATTTTAAAAATATTATTTTAAAAAAATTCATGGGGGAGCAGCAGTTGGTGTAATGGCTATGTCGCAGGACTCCCATGTAGTCGGCCGTGGTTCAAGTCCCGGACCCAGGGGCCTCAGGTCACGCTGGACATGTGTGCGTGCCCAAGATCCTGAGAGGAGAATGGAGGAGAAGGGATTGCGGCGTGGGCATTGACCATCCCCCCTGGGGGGTGATTTCTTTTTCTGTCTCTCTCTGTCTTTCTAGTGAGTACTTGTGCATGATAGCAAAAAGAAAAACCTCTCCAAAAAAATAAACAAAAGTTCACGGACAACGAGTATTACAAAAAACTGAGTGAGGCCGACAGGTTGTATGGTGGTTAGGGTGCTGGACTTGCACTTAGCAGACAGTAGTTTGAATCCCAGATTCAGCAGTTTGCTTTCTCCCTTCCCCCCCCTTTCTGTCTCTCTCTGGTGAGCGCCTGTACTCTATACCAAATGTTAAAAATAATAGTACATTGGGGACCAGCAGGTGGTGTGGTGGTTAAGGCACTGGATACTCCCACATGGCTGACCACGGTTCAAGTCCTGGACCTGGCAGCTTGCTTTCTCACCTTTTCTCTCTTTCTCTCTCTTTCTATTTCTCTCTGGTCAAATTAAAATAAATGAATGAATAAATAAAATAAAATAAAATAAAATACTACATGAAATTAAATAGATGATGCTTTAGATGGATTTTTGTTGGGATGCATGCACTCACTGGAGAGAAAGAGAAACAGGGAGACAGAAAGCGTGAAATCACCCCCCAGGGAGGATGGCCACACCGCAATCCCTTCTCCTCCGTTCTCCTCTCGGGATCCTGGACATGTACACCACATTTCCAGCATTAATTTCAAGCCACCATGTCTGGGACTCAAGCCATGGTTGACCGTGTGGGAGTCCAGCACCCTAACTACCATACCACCTGCTGGCCCCGGTTCTAGTATTTTGACTTTATTTAGTGTAAGTTACCATGGGGCAGGGGATCCTCTGCCCTGTAGTCACCAGAGGTTTAATTTCAACCAAAATTTGCCACCAAGAAAAGCCAGTAAAGGGAGTAATGGTTAATGGTGTATAATGGTTATGTCGCTGGACTCCCACGTAGCCAACCTTGGTTCAACTCCTGGAGTAGGTGGCTGGAAACTCCCTCAGAGCAATGCCATATGCCCAAAATCCCGAGAGGAAACTAGAGAAGACATTGCAGTGTGACCATCCCCCCGGGGGGTGATTTCTCGCTTTCTGTCTCTGTCTCTCCAGTGAGCACACATGCCCTATAGCAAAAAAATCTCTTTTAAAAAAATAAATAAATAAAAGAGGGGGCAGCCAGGTGGCATAGTGGTTAAGGGCACTAGACTCCCACATAGCTTACCGTGGTTCAAGTCCCAGACCTGGTGGCTTGCTTTCTTTCCATTTCTCTGTCTCTCTCTCTCTCTCTCTTGCTCGCTTGCTCGCTCTGCCCCTCTCTGGTCAAATTTTTAAAAATAAGTAAGCAAATCAAGTTAAGTAAATGTATTTTTAAAAAGAAAAGAAAAGCCAGTCAATCCAAGCCAAGCAGAGGGAGGCCTTCTATAATATTTAAGGAGATTATTGTACCTGATGATTATAATTATGCCGTAACACTTAAACAGTACTTCCTGCATGCCGGCGAGGTCAGAACAGGGTGTAGTAAGAGGCAGAATTTACAAGACTCCCACAAACCTCAGTCATCGCAATAAGTTAGATAATTGTTTTTTAAATTAGATCTCTTTTTTTTGGAGAGGTTTTTGCTATAGGGCTCATGCGCTCGCCAGACAGACAGAGAGAGACGGAGAGACAGAAAGCGAGAAATCACCGCCCAGGTGGGACGGCCATGCCGCAATCCCTTCTCCTCTATTCTCGTCTAAGGATCTTGGGCACGCACGCACACATGCCCAGCATGAGTTTAAGCCGCCAGGTCTGGGACTCGAACCACGTTGACTACATGGGAGTCCAACGACATAGCCATTACGCCAACTGCTGGTCCCAAGGGGGTCAAATCCTACATGCTGGGCCCGTATATGTGTGTGCCCAGAATCCCAGCAGGGTGGAGAAGTGGAGACTAGAGTACAGTGCGACTATGCCCCACTTGGGTAGGGGGGCCTTCTCCATCTCTCTGGCAACTAGGTGAGCCTTCCGAAAAATTTAAATAAAAAAAAAAAAAAAGAGGGGAAAACACTTGACATGGTGGTTAAGACAGGTGGATTCCACATGGCCGATTGTGTGATTCAAATCCCAGACCCGGTGGCTTAAACTCACGCCGGGCGCGTGTGCGTGCGTGCCCAAGATCCCGAGAGGAGAATGGAGGAGAAGGGATTGCGGCGTGGCCAATCCCCCCTGGGGGGTGATTTCTCACTTTCTGTCTCTCTGTCTCTCTCTGTCTGTCTGGCGAGCGCACGTGCCCTATAGCCAAAACCTCTCCAAAAAAAAAAAAGAAGGGTCTGAACCCCCACTAGATCTGTGGTCTCATGAGACCTCAGGTCTGGTCCTTTAATTCCTTTTTACCGTAACTTTTTGAGGTCCCCTCAGATGTGTATATATACATTAATGGAGAGACACACTGAAAGGTTTCGACCTTAATTAAAATAATGGATAGTTAGAAAAGACTGATGGGGCCAGCAGGGTGGCATGGTTGTTAAGGGGCTAGACTTCCATATGGCCAACTGTAATTCGAGTCCTGGACCTGGCAGCTTGCTTTCTCGCTTCGACTCTATCTCTGGTAAGCGCACATGCCCTGTAGCGAATTTTAAAATAATAATAATGAGAGACCAGCAGATGGCGTAATGGTTATGTTGCTGGATTGACATCCTGGACCCAGGGGTTTGAAACTCACACCAGGTGCAAGTGCGTGTGTGCCCAAGATCCCGAGAGGAGAATGGAGGAGAAAGGCTTGTGGTATGGCCATCCCCCCTGGGGGGGGTGATTTCTCACTTTCTGTCTCTCTGTCTCTCTGTCTCTCTGGCCAACACATCTACTCTACAGCAAAAACCTAAAAAAAAAAAAAATCTGTTTTTCCTCTCTTCCCTCTCTGTCTCTAATAATGGAATGGAAACATAGTTAAAATAAAAATTACTTGTTTTCACTCCCTTCTCCCCAACCCTATTCCACTCCCTAATTGCAAAAACAACATTATATAACTATTAAGAATTCTTGGGCCCGCCTGTATCTTAGTGATTGGGGCAGTCAGGGACCACATAATGGACTGCTGTTCAAATTTCATTGGCTGAGGCCAGCAGATGGTATGGTGGTTAAGGCGCTGGACTCCCACATGGCTAACCGTGGTTCGAGTCCAGGACCTGGAGGCTTGCTTTCCCACTTTCCCTCTCTCTCATATTCTGACTCTCTCTGGTCAAATTAAAAAATGAATGAATAAATGGTTAAATAAATTTAAATAAAAGTAATTCTAAAAAAAAAAATTGACAAAAGCCTTAAAAATAAAGATACTGAACACTTATTTGCAAACTCTGTGCTTTACAAGAATTAATCTATTTAAGCCTTCCAACAAGTTTATGAGGTGATGGGCTGCTATTATCACCCCTTTAAAAAAAATTATTGGGGGAACCAGCAGTTAGCGTAATGGCTATGTCGCTGGAT